CGGTTCTGAGAACTGGCTCATGAGTAGTACAGGCAGAAATTTAACAGAAACAGCGGAAATACAATTTCTGATACAGCCCATGTTTCTGGGCATACGCTCTTACGAATTCGTAACGAAGAGTTCATGCATACGTTGATTGATTTGGAAATATTCAGCGCATGGAAGAAAGAAGAATTGTCCAGTGACTTTTCGACTGTCTTATAAAACAATGAGCGCTTATCAGATTTAGTCACTACTACTGAAATTGGTGTGAAATTTTATTCGTGAAAGTAAAAAGTATATTTATGGAATATTGATTTAAATTATATTTTATTGTAAGAGTAAAACCAGAAGCTAACAAAGAAAGCTCCTGTATCAGAGATTTAGAATACCTGAAGCGGCAAGCGGACAATGGCAGAATCCTTCAAGTCGCGACATGTAGCTCCATTTATATATGTGAATGTTTCTATAGTCTTTCATTCCAGGAAATATTTTCTTTTTCGAATTCTTTGTAATGGGATATCAACTGCAAAACACAGCAATCCTGGGATAAAAAAATACTCAAGCTATGTGTAATAGCTTTCCTGTAACAGTGAGATTATTTGACGTCGTCCAATTTTAAAATCCGTAGCATTTGAAAACCATAGGAAATAAAATTTATAAAAACGAGTGTTTAATTTGAGCCCAACATAATTAATGCAAATCGCCGTGGTCACCATATTTATTTGGAATTTTGGATTAGGCCCAGTTTATGTCACTTCACATATGAATTTTTCGCGGTATATTTTCAAAACTAATTTTAATATTACAACATAAAGAGCTTGAAAGAGGAGCCTATGTGTAACCCAGTCTTCTACAGCGATATACAATTTCTGAAGCCTTACACCAAAGCTGTCGGCTTGCATACATTGTCGCACCGCTGAATGCAATTCTATACCAAACCAGCGTCACATCTTATACAACAGACGTGGGAAGCAGGCTTCCCTCCATGCTTCCCAACAACGAACGACTCACATATATTGCACCAGTTTCGAACAGTGGTGGGCCGAGATTATATTATACACGGATGCAGGTTCAGCTCTCTACCTAAATAAATGTAAAAATAAATATTGTTCGTGTTTCCATTTTAGACTCCAGAATGGATTTATTTAATCGGTCCACTGCTGTAAATATAAACACATGCAACATACAGTGACTCATTAGCTTAAGTGATCTAGTAATCAGAACAACTAAGAAATAACATTCTAAATTATTTGTGTTTATTCCATTTTCAAGGCTGTTGACTGTGTGGCTACGAGCCACAGAGGACAGAGATGGTCCTCGAAACGTCGGCGATTGATCACCAACTAACACGGCTGATAGCCCGAGAAGACTTTATTAATACTGTGTCCGTCTTCAGGAGTAAAGTTTAAGATAGAGGCAGTTGTTTCTCCGAAACTTTGCTACCTACATAAAAAATCCACGACATTACAACCCAGAAGACCAGCAACGACAGTGTCCATACTATTGCAAATTATTGCACTGAACGTTTAAAATCTCTGAATAAGTATACTTCGGTGACGTTGATCTCATGATGCCTTAAAAGTAAAGCAGCTAATCTCGCGTTACGACTTGTATTATTTTAAATATGACAGTCTAATCTGACACATGCACCGCGTATAATGGAAACAAGAGCTGACCACGCAGTCACCTTATATTCCGTTTACAAACATCAAGTGCATAGAAACGTTCTGAATATTCAGACAACGTACCGAGCCACCTGGAATGGCCAGTGGGTGTTCAGATGCACGGACATGCTCAAAGTGTCTACTTCAGATCAATGACATGATGTTTCTCAAGAAACAAAGTTTTAAGATATCCAATTAACGTGTACCTGTGTTTCTCGGTTTCACTTTAATATTTTAATTGAATGAAAAGTGGCATAAGGCTCGATGGCTACGTTCTAGAATAAAACTTCCACTTTTAGTATTTTATTAAAAAATAAAAACAATTAAATAAGTGAAGCGCTGTCCTCCTTCAGAAGCTAACAGTCGCTCAGGTAGTGAAGACAATGCCTGCCCTTTTTGGGATCCATAAAACTTCATTAGATTCTTAAAAAGCCTCTGAATAATATCATAAAACAATACAAACATTGAGAGGCCTAGAAAGAAAAAAGCCTATGACATAATTACGAAAACGTAGTTTTCAGGCCTAAATTTCAAGAACTGGCTACTAACACTTCATTACGAAGATAAATTGCTATTTATTATCAGCGTTATATGAAGCCTACACTCTCACATACTGTGGGCAAAATACAGCGTTACCGGTTGTTAAAATAAATGGTACGTATAATTACTCCTAGGCTTTACGGGGTTAATTATTGACGCGAATTAAAAGACTCGTAAGTTATGCAGTCTTTTTAATTACGGTGAAATATGGGCTAAATCTACATTGTATCAGGGAAAGTCTTTGCTCTGTAGCTTGTTCCCTGCCGTTCACTGCTGTGGCCTTTTCTTACCAACTTTATTTAAGAAATCAGCATTTTATGAATGACCCTTCAAATCTGTGTGCTGCAATATTTTACAACGCGATGATATTTTCTGATACGATTATGAAATCTAAAATCACATATATCGGGACACACCACTCTTGAACGAAGTTTGAATTAAGTGAAACCCTGAACACAAATCAAACAATGAAAAATCCTGGATAATTTTCAACATTCGACTAGTCTTCTCCCCTAAAGCCGAAGTTACACATTGAACTCCAGCCGCGAAAACCCATAAGACTTGCCTTTAAACGTGCATAATCTACACGCGATTTGAAATATTAGCGTATAGGCCTACTTAAAAAAGTTTACATGCCCTTTAACAATATCGGCCATGAAAATTATGATCGTTAGTCTTCTGGGCTGTTACGCCGGGTAGTATGATAGTTTACCGACGTTTCGGATGTGCTGCTGCCTCTGAAACGTCGGTGACCTTCTATCAGACTAAACGACGCAACAATCCAAGAGACAGCCATCTTCACAGATGCCGCCGGGAGAACCCGAAATCTCACATAATGATCAGGGTTACGGTTAGTATGAAAAAATCACGAAAATGGCCTATCAGTTAAATGAATCGCATATTTATATTAGCCCTGTGATATAAATGGCTACGTTACACTACTTAACGAGATAAGAGCACAGAGGAATGCACATTAGTCCCTTCATTCATAAAGACGATATATACTATCGCCATCTTATTCGGAAATTGTCAGGAATATGAGACCCAATTTTATTTTTCGATGCTATTATCAGCTACTGGCATCTCTTAACATTATATTAAAGGTCGTCTTGATCAATCTTGTGAATCGAAAATCATGTAAATTAAGATAAACGATGCGAAGAATAAAATAATGAAAGTGGGAACAAAAAAATAGTGACTGAAGATATTGTGAGAAAGATAACAAATAAGAAAGTAGGGATAATGAGAGTTCATAGACAAAAAAAGAAAGAAAAGAATCGGCTCCACGCCAACATGAAATAAGAAAAACGTCTCTTTGGATTATCCACTACCATAGACGCACTGGTACGTAAATTTGTTTTGAAGCACTGCGATGCTTATTACGAATACGAGTAGGTCTATACCAAACACCAGTATCTTATATTAAAACACAAATCCTCCCTTCTTTATCCTTTTAATTCATTTGTATTAATGATCATATCATTCGACGCTACCACCTCAGAGTTATTGACAGTGCTGATAACTAAATCATGAATAATAAAACGAACAGAGGCAGCTTGAAATGTAATTCTCTCGCTTTGCCTGCCGATGTACGTTAGGTCATTAAAGTATGGGAACAAATGTGAAGGTAAATGACAGTTATCAAATTTCAAATTGCAGTCACTGACTGATTTCTTACAAAAAATGTGGATATGATATTCCGAAAATGATGAAACTGGTTTAAAGAAACATGATTTGTCTCTGTTTTTGTAAATAATCGAAAGAATGAAATTTTCGAATAGCAAAGTGTTTACTTGTGTTATTTAAAACCAAATGTCTGTATTTATTGTGCTGTTTTATGTTTATATTATATCAAGTTAATTTCCCAAATAGTATAAAAACTGCATGTACCACAAAGTCAAGTAAACAAATTTAATAACATAAAAAATTATAAATAACGACGGAAATAAAAGTTCCAGTGTTATTTCTTCGTTACTGTAAGTAGGCTGTTTTGTAACGGAAATAAATACCTGTATAAATTAATTTAAACAACGAAATGCTAGCTTTTAATTTAATTGATGTAAACTTTCATGTAGTTCAAAATTTAAACGACATTAGTAATTAAAAATTGGGCATGTAAATTATGACACAAGAAATAAGGCCACTGCGAGAGGAAAATGTGGTGCATAAAATACAACTAATGAGTTGTATCTCTTGGTATAAAACTGATGTTTCTAAAAATTTCAGAACAATTTCATTAACAAGTCAGACTGCAAAGCGGTGCCGATATATTCAAATTAGTGTGGTAGCGCCTGTAATTTTAATGGAGCGAGAATAATCTTAACGGATGTTTGCAGTCGTCAGAATAATGAAGTGCTTGTATTCTTCATTTTGAATCACATCTTAGGAGACTAGAAAATCTTATATAAACTTCGCAGCTAGGCCTGTTTACTTGTTTTATTATCTTTAAACCAGCTGCTTTTAATCACAATTACCACTTGACAAACGAGTTTCGGCTCCACTGAGTCATCATCATTGTCTCATTACCAATGTTAAATAACTTAGAAAAGCTGCCCCGCTGCTACACGCCATGGAGGCGCTTGCGAAGAGAACTGGTATAACTTATAATCGTTCTTGACCTCGGCAATAGGTGGGGGTGAGTGAATAAAACCACGCCACCCTGCAACGCTTTAGGATGCTGTGTGGGCCACAGAGCCGGTCTTTTGCCCTAGCTGGGAGCGAACCCCCGATCGTCCAGTCCGCCGTAAGACACCACAGACTACTAAATAAGCTACCTCAGCACCACCTTCTTAAGTCTTTTGGTTTCCAACTCACCTGCGTCCAATATCCTCTGTTTGACGCTGTGTTGTCTCCCGTGCCAGAACTGCCACGCTTTAATCTCGTCATCTGGACTCTTCTCCTCTCGGAACATAAGCATCACGATGCTCTGAAAGAAGAAGAAGAAGCTGTTATTTCATCATACCGATAAAGTATTCAATTCATTAGAAGTATATTTCCTAAAAACAATTAATAATAACCTAATGAGACATTAGTGAACCTGTTATAAATTACTCAAATACAATGAGGACATTTTACGAAATTGTTATTTTTATAATCAATACTTAGCAAAATATAATACGCCTGAAAATGTGGACGCCTAAAAAATTTCCTTCAGTATTCATAAAACTATCGAGTACTGTAATGAGGACAGCTAGGACTTTTATTTTAAATAATACTATAACACTAGTCTGGTCTTTCTTTTAAATGTGTATTATAATGACACGTAGGTTCTCAAACTACGGTAGTGAATTCACAATCAAAAAATTCCTGAAGGATCTATAAATACACAAAACGAATCTGAACTTTACATACATAAGTAAATAACCACATATGTTACACCACGGCATGCGAAACTGGTACCTGATTCAGGACGAATTTGCCAAAATACTCTTCCTACAATGTTTACACTTGACATTACATTTCTGTCATGTAGTGTGTACAAAACACAATGTCCACTATACAACTACGAAGCAATTATTGTGATAGTATTTACAACATCTAATAGGCCTGTGATGTCAGACTCTCCGCTCACAAATGTGTTTAGCTTTAATTGATTCTTAGATGTCAGTAGTATAAAATACTGCTTCTGAAACTCTTTTGCCATCAAATAAACGGAGCACTTATAATGAATTACTATTACGTCTTCCTGGTCGTGATCTGCGCAATACGCCATCGCAAATGGTCGTGGTCAGTATTACTTAGAAGAGAAAATAAAAGCGTTGTATTAGTAACACATAGAAAGATCGGAATGTTAGCAAAGTTTACAATATCTCTTACAGAAAATCTTTCGTATTGATAAAACTATGCATCGAAGATAAATATTTTTCTATATATTTCTCACTTCCCAACTCTTACTTTTTATATTAAATGTATTTTATTATTAATGCCAGTGACTGAGACTTGTATTCACATATGTTCATGTTCTACACATTCTGATTCTGTAATGAAAATAAATTGTTATTAACTTATATCTAATAAATTAAATGTATTCAGAATAAATTATAATGTTAAAATAATTCCAAATAAAAATTACCCAAAACATTTTTGACATGCAGAATATTTTTATACGTGTGAAATGACAAATTAAAGCACTCCTTAACAGTCTTCAAATACAATTTGAATAATGAAAATCACCTAAAATTAATTCTATTTCTACTTAATGGTAATATTCTTATATTTCCTAAAATGAACCTATATATATGGGCAAGAAATAATATTTGCGGTTATTAAATCGATATTGAAAAATTCATGCACAAAATTTTTAGAGCTAAATATTTTATTTAAAGCACTGTACCTTAAATATGCTTAATATTAAAGTTCAATAGTTAAATATTTTGAGAGTAATTGTGAAATGTCACACCATATTAAGCATTAAGAATTATTAGTAGAGAGAAAGCAAATACAAAATAAAACAGCAATGAGCAGACAAACAGCGTGACTGAAGAATGAAACACGCAAAGAAGGTAAAGACCGGAGATTATTAAACCGAATAGATGAGAGAGCCAGCAAAATTTACAACTACGAAGCAAAACTATGTCGGCTATGAGAACACTCACATAGCAAAATACTATGCAATCCAGAAGAAGTATTTTACCAAGCATTCGGAATGTGATTTGATACCACAGAAAGCTGTCACGAATTCTAAATTTAATTTAACTCTTCAGTCTGTTAATTATTCTTTAACATGTTATACTAGCGTTACATTATATCAAAAATAACTTTTCAGGCTTTTAGCTGGAATACACATTAGTTCTATGTTATTTTTCTTGCATTCGTTGAAATACCAGTAAGACGGGAAGTCGTAAGTTACCCGTCCAATTAGGGAAGATACGTTGCTATGGCAATACGTATGTCTTGTTAACTGTTCGGCGACTTGTTTTCTCTTTTGTTTTTTTTAATATATCTATAATTTATTTTCTTTCATTATTCGCGCGGTTTGATCCATCTGTCTGTGACGAATATCGTCTTTTTATTTTATACACGGCAAGGATCTCATATAACAATACGAAAGAACAGCTAACATTTCTCGACTATTTTCAAAGAAAATCTTTTCTAGAAACTTGTTTGAATGTGTCATTACATCAAGTATAAGTTCTCTATGTGAGATGTGGAAAAATGTTGTACTGTACACATTTGGGCATAATGATTGAACACTATATATATGCTTCATGTCAACGTACCTTCCCCAGCAAGTGTTTCTGTAACTACTTCAGAACTTCTCACCAATTAGTCCATCACCTTGAATTTTTTTTAAGTTGGCAAAAGCAAACTATGAAAGGTTATCGATCTGATGACGGCGCTGGCAAAGTTTGAAGTACAATTATTTTGGTGGAGTCTAATTATCTACCCACATACTATAATAAGCAAGTGCTGGTTGTTTGGTGAATGTTTGCTCTTAGGAATTTGGGCCTTACGGAATAATATTTATGATTATGAGTGTTTATTGCTTTAGGTTACACAGTCATTTCTGGTGGCATATTACAAATGATTAATGGCTCATAGCGTTAAATTTTAAGATTTTGAGAACAAGGTACTTGCTAGAATATTTGGAACAAAAAGCAATGACGTGACATGAAACTTCAAAAATTGCAGGAGGAGTTCCAAAATTCGTACTCTAAAAAATCATAAAATCAAGGTAAGTGAGATTTTCGAATCATGTGATGCGCGTGGAAGATATAAAAAAAATACATGTAAAATTTTGTTTGGTAAACCTGAAAGGATAAAATTACTTGGACACTAGACGTAGGTGGGAAGTAATATTAAAAGTGGTATCAGATAAACAGGGTTTCGGGATACGGATAGGATTAATCTGGCTCAGGACAGGGACCGGCAGCAGGCTTTCGTGAACACGGTTATGAATCTCCGGGTTCCATAAATGCCTGGAAATTTCTAGCTATCTGAGCCTAGTATTAGCATCTGAAAAAGAGTTCTGCTGCGTGGATTTGGTTATAGCTATCTCCTTCTTAAGAAGTGACAAAATCAGTTAAATATTTTACAGCTTACTGTATTCAAGGTTATTCAAATGGGTTAGTTTAATGCATCTAATGAGTCTTCCAACAGACAAAATTAAAACGCCTAGTAACATACTATCTTTCCGAGTTTCTGCATTGAAAAATTGAGTTTGAATAGATAGTGAACCAAATTTGGTCACTTCTCGTGTGCGTATATATACATACATAGATAGATAAATATATTGGCCACGCTTTGTAGGTGGGTGTCCACACATTATTTCGGGTGAAACGACAAACTGTGTATTCTAAGTACCCGCATAGTGTGTAGAAGTTATGTGTTGGATAATATGTTCAGTTTTGCCACAGGATTTGGGTAAGCGTAATTATCACGACGCTGAGAAGTTCATTCTTTTTTAAAAGTTTGTCTATTATAAATTTCACACAAAACAGAATGGAAAAGTAGAGTGTTGTGCGACGAAAATTAATCTTGATGGATTAACCACTTAAGGCAAATTGTATTTACATTACTTGATATTAACATTTGAAGATAAAACAACCGACCATTCACATAAAGCCACTGCCAGAAATGATTCCCATATGAAGATTCGAATTGCAAATGGTGTTGCTTCTCTATCGTGATTATTATTTTTTTATTATTATCCTCACGCAAGAATAGTTCCCGTAGTTTCGAATGAGATGATGAGACTGACAGATTGACTCTGCTTCAGCTTTGAATGTCATACAGCGTTAATACAGATAAAAACGAGATAAAGAATCGTGAATGTATAAAGAATATGAAAGAACGTGATCGTGCAACATTTCTGGACATCCTAGTATTCGCTTGAAATACTGAGTAGAACCATGAAAACGTCAGTTAGGATAGCAAGTATCTCGACGATGATTCGAACCGGGTACTTTTACAATATAAGTCTACAGAAAATTGATCGGTACAGGTACTGCTGTCTTTGAATACATACATACACTTTATGAAAAAGTGGGGTGGGGAAAAAGTCCGGTCCCCGGGAGGACAGCAAAAACGAATTTTCCGGGCATGTAACAGAATTGCTGTTAACTCCACGATTATATTTAGTCTCTTGTGTGCCAGTAATTTAAATATTAGTAAAGCAATTTTGTGAAGAAGAACATTTAGCGAAAGATGAGTTCTTATATCAACATGAACTGTAAAAGAATGCCACGTTTTACGTACATTCATACAGAAAATTGTCTCAGCGATTAAAAGTACATAAATCAACGGCGTCTTTTCAGGAGATCATCGTAATGTCCGTTTAACGAAATCTTTAAGTCAGTAATTAAGGGTTGATGCTAAATCAAGTCCTGATGATGGAAGCATTATTAGCGCCATTCTTACACGGCTGACCGCCCGATTAGATGTTACTGAATTCAGTAGCCGCGATATCTTCACATTTTATAGATTTACATAAAATTCGATACTGGGAGATGCTAATGAAACTCTTCCGGCTGAGAGTTATGAAATTATTTAAAACCAACATTGCCTCTTTTTCTAATAACTGCAGCGCGCTATGAGAAGGGCTGTGTACATCGACTGAAGGTATATTTCAACGTCCCGCCTGATTAAAGATGCCAGAGTTCGGTTTGATATCTTTGAGTGATATGTTAAACTGACTCTACAAAGAATGTCAGGAATAATCAGTAAGATTATGAAAAATATCGTTAAACATCACTGCGGATCAGTGTGCAGTAACATTTTCTTTTGCTTGGTTTCAATTAAATATAATTCATTCAAAAAGGAAGCGATTCGTGAAGCATCGTAGTAAAGTGGATTTTCCTGTTTGAGACCTGTGTTCTTTTATGTTTCATTTTGTTTGTTGTTGATTGATGGTCGACTTCTTCTAATACGGAACTCATGTTTCTTTTTATTCTTATTCTGCCAAACATCAGCAGCTGGATCGGCGTC